GCGTGGGCAGCGGACAGCCCTGTCCGCTGCCCACGTGTTCCGCCGCTTTGCTTCCTCTCCCTGGTCTGCTGGAGACCAGGGAGAGGAACGGCCCCGTTCGTAACTGCGGATCCGACATAAGTCGGATCCGCGTAACTCGGGGACTGCCTGTATTTCCAAGTGTATGTGAATATTTTTATTATTATATATGCTGGAATTGTTCAAAGGAATAGCACATGCAAAGACAGTCCAGCTAGCAATCATCATCGTTATATGAAAGTAATATACTTTTCCAAATATCTTTAAGCAATTATTGCACATATTAATCAGAATGCATACATGATATCCACTATATATCTAGGTTAGTAGATTTCCCAAGTACAAGGATACCTGAAGACTGGTGTCCTGTCCTGCAATACATTCTCTGCAGGCAGGCTTTATATCCATGCAAAACTCATTGCAGGATAAGTCACCCATATTTGAAAATAGAAATGGAAAAGCATAACATAATCTTATAGAATAATTAGCATGAAATGCGTGACCCTTCTCACTGAACAATTGTTTTGGTAATTATTATGTACACTAGACCATCTAAGGTAAAAGAAGTCTTAAAACCTTTGGCCTGTTATTTTCCTATTCTTAGAGTGTATTAGGAACAATATAAAAGGTTTTGTTTAATATAGGGTTGTGTTTTTTAAAAGAATTCTTTAAACTCCCTGTGTCATATTAAGTCTATACAATTATATTTTATGAAAGAGAATGAGTGAATGTCATCCAATTAGTCTTGGAAATAGTTTTGATAAACACTCAGACTTTTGAACGTTATTGAACCAGTATCTTTAACTGCATTTGATCAAACTTGTTTTCTAAGGGTATGTCTACACTAGCTCATTAGTTCGAGCTAGGTAGGCAAATGAGGGCAACTGGAGTTGCAAATGAAGCCCGGGATTTAAATATCCCGGGCTTCATTTGCATGTTCCCGCGCGCTGCCATTTTTAAATCCCCCTTAGTCCGAACTAACTGCCCGCGGCTAGACGCGGCAGTTAAACGTTAATTCGAACTAATTCCATGAGGAGTAATAGTTAATTCGAACTAAGGAGTTAGTTCGAATTAACGTTTAACTGCCACATCTAGCCACGGGCAGTTAGTTCGGACTAAGGGGGATTTAAAAATGGCAGCGCGCGGGAACATGCAAATGAAGCCCGGGATATTTAAATCCCGGGCTTCATTTGCAACTCCAGTTGCCCTCATTTGCCTACCTAGCTCGAACTAATGAGCTAGTGTAGACATACCCTTAGAAAACAAGTTTGATCAAAAGAAAAGTGATTTTTTAAATTGTATGTGTGTATATATTTTTAAATCGTATCTGGGGAGAAGGAGAGTGTGTGCACATTTATACAGTAAGTCATCTCAGTAATACCCTATTAGATTTGGTTTTTCTAACAGTTTTGTGATACAGAAGATTCAGGCCCCTCCCCCGCCAGCTACAGTAATATAGACTTAGCTTGCTGTTTAAGCTATGTCATGTTTTGGATCTAAAAATGGTTAGGAAAAAGGAAGTAGTTCTCAGGGTTGAAAGAATTTGATGGTGGAATATTCCATTTATATTTACTATCCTTTAGATTG